TGGGAAACTTATCAGGTACAGTTTCCTTGTTGAGTGCGCGGTAGTCTACACAAAACCGTCAGCTGCCATCCTTCTTCTTCACCAATAGAACAGGACTAGAGAACGGGCTAGTGCTGGGCCTGATGATCCCTGCTTCCAGCATTTCTCTGATCAGCTTTTCTATTTCGTCTTTCTGAAACTGAGGGTAACGGTAAGATCGTACACTGACAGGTGACACTCCCTCTCTCAATGTGATGGCATGTTCCTGCTCCATGGGTGGTGGTAACCCTAGAGATGGTTGAAAAACCTCATAGAATTCCTGGGGCAAAGGTTGTACAGAGAGGGGTATGTCCCCCTCTTCCTCCAAACTCACTCCCTCCAATCTATGTAACTCCACCAAATAGCCTTCCCCCTCCTCCTGGATAGTCTTGATTAGGGATTTAAGAGAAACCCCGGTCTTGGTCAGCCCCGCATCACCTTGAATCACCCTCTTCCTTCCTCCCTTCACCAGCTCTATCCTCAGAGTACCCCAATTGACCTTGGTTTCCCCCAAGGTATGCAACCACTTCATCCCTAGGATGACATCCGTACTCCCCAATTCTAGGGGAAGGAAGTCTTCCTTCACTTGGATACCTTGGATCTTCAGCACCACCCCTCTACAGACTCCTCTTCCCATTTCTACCTTCCGCATGCCCATCATCACCCCATAGCCTCCTGTATCTACTAACTCCATCCCCAGCAGCTCCATAATTTGGGTGGAAATGAAATTGTGGGTTGCCCACTATCGATCAACACCACAACTTCACGGTTAGCTATCTCTCCTTTCACCTTCATAGTGTGACTCGGAGTGAATCTCACTACGGAGTTGAGAAAGACTTTTGCCACATCTAGATGCAGCTTTTCCTCCTCCACCTCAGAATCGCTCCCCCCTCCCTCTTCGTCTTCCTCGTCTTTACAAACGAGGAGAACTTGAAGAGCTCAATCCTTGCACTTATATCCTGACATGTATTTTTCATCACATCGGAAACACAACCCTTTTATTCTCTTCTCTTGCATTTCCTTCTCAGTAAGCTTCTTGAACTGCCCCCCATTTCCTCCTATTGTTTTTTTCCTTCGGAACTTCTTTCATCCCTCTTGGAGATACTCCCTTGGAGGCTAGGTGGGTAGTCGTCCACCTGTAAGTGCCTCTTGAGCTACCACTCTTAGCTCCCTTCTCCAGATTCTTTTGATTTTCGACCAATTGTGCAAGCTTCATGTCCTCCCCCAGATCCCTAGGTATCAGGACCTTCACTGCTGCTCTAACTTCTGCCTTTAACCCCTTCATAAAGTTCCCCTCCAGCATTGTATCGGATAACCGCTCTACCCTGCTAACCAGATGCTCAAATCTCTCTCTGTAGTCGGCCACAGACCCTCCTGCACTAGGGTAAAGAACTGCTCGTAGAAGTATCCTCCCCGGTCGGTTTGGAAACGCTCTATCAAACTGTCATTGAATTCTTCCCAGCTCTGGATAGGTCTCCTCTGATCTCTCCACTGGTACCAGGAGAGTGCCTTCCATTCCAGACATAAGCCCACTGCCGATAATTTCTCCTCCTCCGTAAGCCGTTAACGGCGAAGTACCTCTCCACCTTATAAATCCACCCATAGGTGTCATCCCCTTCAAAAATGGGCATTTTTAATTTCCTCACCTTCCAATCTCCGTCGTTTCCCCTTAATCCTCCATAATTTCCCATTCCCCATTAAATCCCTAAGGTTACCGCCCCTTCCCCTTTATTAACTTCCTACTAGATGCTGCCCTCTCTTCTTTCCTCCATTAATTTCTCATAGTTCTTGCCCCCACTTCCCTCCCCTATTAATTCTCTAGTGTTGTGTCCCTTCTCCCCTTCCCTTTCCTTTTCTTTAGCCAACAACCCCTCTCCCAAACAACCTCCTCTTCACATACAGCACGCCAAGCCCGAACTCCCTTCCCCAAACCGTGGATAGCCCCTTCATCCATGGATGGCTGATCCTAAGCTTGATCATGGCTTATATTTAATGATCAAGGCTTAGTCGACGTTCACTGATCTCCATTCTTCGACATCGACTTCGTGATCAACCATACCGTTAAAGAATACGTGGATCATATTAGCTTCTCTCTTGCAACCGCCATTGATCATCGAAGACCTCCCGTCCAATGGCAACTCACCTCCAGTCTACCCACTACTTTTCTGGGTAGCTTTCTGTTGCTCAAAACCTTAAATGTTTACTTCTACTTAGTGGCATTATTAATATCATATCATGTTTTCTTCCGTTGAAATTATCTGAAGAGTGTGAGTGGGGGAAATTCACTGTGATTGTTCTAATTGTTAAATGTGGGATTTGTGTGACTTGTGGATAAATACTTATTGTCTTGGTTATTATTTTATTGTTCCCCGCCAATACTTGCAATTGTTTGCTATTACTTTATCAACAATTGAGAAGTCACTTAAATCGACCCTTCATCATCATTAATATATATAATTGTTAAGTTTGTCAATTCAGTATTATTCCTAAGCAATTTCTGAATCTAGCATTTGTTTCACATCAGCACTATTATGTGTGCTACAAATTAGACTCCCTATCCCTAATAATCTCATGAAAAATGTGAGGTAGATTCACTCTTGTTGCATTTTTAATACTAATAAGTGTGCGAGCGTGACAGCTAGCTAATTCAGGTAATAGTCAATATAAACAGTACCTATCCTGAACGTCAACTAAGTGTCTCAAATGCCTCACATCATGAAAAATGTGAGGTAGATTCACTCTTGTTGCATTTTTAATACTAATAAGTGTGCGAGCGTGACAGCTAGCTAATTCAGGTAATAGTCAATATAAACAGTACCTATCCTGAACGTCAACTAAGTGTCTCAAATGCAAAAAAATCGGTGAAGGTCAAAGGGGAGAAGAAAAAATCTCACAAGCATTTAAAATCAAGTGCACAAAATGCATTACAATCTTGATTTTACTTAAGTAGAAGCCAAATATAGCTACAAAAAGACGAAGGTGAAAGGTGATTCCCTACCAAAGCAAGATACATAGCAAGCAAAAATTGTTCTTCATAAAAAATAGCACAAGCAGAGCTTAGCTTACCACTTGTCTTAGTGTGTAACAAATACGATACAAGCCTAACCCATACTCGCCCTTGAACACTAAAACCTTCTTATATCACAAAGTCCTGCCATATAAGTTGCATCATGCTACCAAGAAATTTGAAAAAGGTACCTAATTTAATAGTATAGTAGCATCAATTTCAAGAAAAGTACGTACTTTATACTCAAACGCCATTGAAAAAAGAGTACCTTATTCGGACATCCGACGGTGGACATAAATCAAAGGAAGAGACGAAGATCGAAGATCGAAGACTTAGATCCCTCCATTTTATCTTAGTTTATTAATTGTATTTTTTTATTTAATTATGCATTTTCCGTTTTTACCCTTGCTTAAGGGTCTTGTCTTATTTAAGCCCAAGGGGAAAAGTTGTCTTTTAGTTTTTTTTAAGACCTATATATAGAGGCCTTTGCTCTTGTATTAGATCAATAATGGATTAATAAAAAAATTGTTTCTACACTTTATTCTTGAGAGTGATGGGAGTTCTTAGGAGAGTGGAAGTTCCTATGTGAAGGCAATGAAATACCTGCAAGCCACAGGATGTGTCCGGGCTCGTGATTGAAATCCCTTGGTGAAGGGCACGCAATACACGTCAGTCTTTGGAAGAGTCCAAGACTTGTGGTTTATTTTCTTTCTCTAATCCCTAACCTCCTCCTCCTTTAACCGCTGGCTAAATCTTCCCCTAGCCGCTGGCTTTCTACCTCCCATCCTCTTCCCCACCACCGACCACCCACCCCCTTTATTTTCAATCGTCGGCCACCACCCTCCCCTTCTTCCAACCGCCGGTCTCCTCCCCATCTCCACCACAAACCGCCACCTTTGGGTTTCCCAAAACCCTAGCCGCCAGAGCCTTGAATCCAAGGTGGTCCTTGCATTTGCTACTTTCCAAAGTTAGTTTATGAAGATTGGGAGAGAAAATAATTCAAATTCAGCTTTGGAACCTTACCTAATTTGGCATTATCTATATTTGGAAAGTTTTAAACCATCCAATCAAAATTCAAATTTGAATTAAGAGGGAATAGGAGTCATCAAGTCCTCCTAACTTAATTAGCCTTATTTAGAAAACCCCACTAAACCTTTCCCTAACCCTCCCTCTCTCTTTGAAACCGCCGGCCCCCTCCCTCTTTCTCCCACCATTCAATTAATTTCCTTCCCCTTATTGCTCCCCAATTAACTCCCATTCCAAGGTGTTGTCCCTACCTTACCCTATTTCCCTCCAAAATCCCATCTTTTAATTTTGAATTTTAAATTTTGAAAGGTCTTAATCCCTTTCCTAATTTAAGATTCTAATTAAAGATTCATTCAATTACCCCATTATCATCTTCCTAATTTAGCCCTATCTTATTTGGAAAGATTTCGTATATCAAATTCAAATGAATTGAATTTTAAAATCTTTCTTAAATATCCTACGCCTATTTTAGGAAATTCCCCTCAATTAGTGCAAATCTGAATTAAATGATCGGGTCTGAATTTAATTCCCCTTATTCAATGTATGTGAACACATACATCAAATGTGGACATTTCTCCCTCTCCCCTCTTTCTTTGGCCGGCCCCCATCCTTCTCTTCCCCAATAAATGAGGAAATTTAAAAATTCACATGACCCTCTCCCTCCGTTCTACATCAGTACCACACTCACAATTGCACAGGCAATGGATTGGTAGGGAGGACAAGAAAATAAAAATAATAGCAAATGTGGTCCAAATTCCCATGATAAAGGAAACTAACCATTGAGATCCCTTTTTCTCATTTTTTTCCTCCTAAAACCAGTACGCATTAATAAAAAATTACGTATATTTAGTGTTTGCTTTTATCCCAATGACATCAATTCAATCTGTAGTAAATGCAAGAACCAAGGCAATATACAAAATAAATAGAAATTGCATCAAGAAGTAAGGACCTTTGCTCTTTCGCCTCTGAAAGTCGACCAGCTTTCCTTGCACGGTCATGGCAGCTTCACGAGCCTGATAAAAGCAAATATATATATAAATATGAAAATGATTAATATTTATCAAAATTCAAACACAACTGCATGATATCTTATAAAAATTAGATCTAAAAGAATTTTAGAATTTTTTAACTCCACATTACTTCCCAGAAGCAAAATGTTCAACAAAGCTTTTCTAGGAAAACAGAATGTCAAATAAGGCCTCGCTTAGCAAATTAAACACTACGACCTTCGTTTCCAGGGCTTCTAATGGAAAAGTGCTGAAAAAGTGAGTAAGATTCATATTATGAACCACAGTTATATAGCTTAAACGATAGCTTTTTTTGTCTAATACCTTCCTTAAGTAATTTAAAAACATACAATAACTTAACTATAATCATCACATTAAAAAAAATTAACATATTAGTTAAACAGAACAGTGCATATCAATGTATCATTTTCACTTTGATTGCATGATAAACAAGACATCAACCCATGTAAGAGGTATAACCATAATCATGTTTCCTTCAAGCATCTGCATAAATAACTTCGAGAATCTATAATAATTAACTAGCTACTTCGTTTAGGAGCCAACAAGGTTTACTACAAATTCACTGGCCCAACCACACAAAGCAGTTACAGCCACAAGACTGCAGGTTGGATGAATAAACCAGAGGGGAGTGCGTGTTGTAAATAGCATATTTTAGATTTGAGTGTTAACATTTTAGTTAAACAGAACAGTGTATATCTATGTATCATTTTAACTTTCATTACATGTTAAGCAAGACATCAACCCGTGCAAGAGGTATAACAAATATCAAGTTTCTTTCAAGCATCTGGATAAACAACTTGGTGAATCTGTAAAATTAACTAGCAAATTTATCATCTAGGAGCAAAAAAAATTGAGTTCCAAGTTCACTGGCCAAACATCACAAAGCAGTTCAGCCACTAGACTGCAGCTTGGATGAACAAACAAGAAGTCAACTAGAACTATGGGAAGTGTGTGTTGTACATGGCATAATTTAGATTGAGTGCTATGTGCATCGTTTAAACACCTTCAGATAAAATTTTAAATGGAAGAGGAGGAATAAGATTAGTAATTTCCTATCTGCAATTCCATCTCTTTTTCCTCCCATCTATTCGAGATTTCGAGTCCAATATTAACAAACGAATGAGCAAAAAAGCTATTCAAGCAACTTTCGCCTTTGTCTGTTTTATCCAAAAGAAGTACTCAGGTTAAACAAGATTTTCACTCCACTACCTCCTTCCCATCATCCAATCCTCCAAAATGTTTCCACTCCTTCGCTCACGACAGCCAATTGAAAGTTCTTATTTACCCTCCATCATCCAATCCTCCCAAATGTTCCCACAATCCTTCGCTCGCGACAGCCCATTGAAAGTTCTTAGTTAACCTAACATTTCCGTTACTTCCCTTCAACACCTCAAAAATAAAACCTTTTTGCCCCAAAAACGCATTGCTAACCTTCAACAACTCGTACATAAAACTTTTTACTTCTTTGACTTTGTACAGAATCAGCCAATTACAAACCTTTGAGAAGATAACGGCATCAACAAATTACAAAGTGTGATTAGATCAATTGCAGGCCCTCGTAGATGACCAGGTCAATATTTAAGCATCTTTATTGCATCAAAACAAAATTTATTAAGTAAAACAAATCGCCTGGCCAAAGAAACTTATTCCAAGTAACACTAATGAACACAAATGTTACCTTAAATTCATCAATGCTATCTTGAGCAAATGCAATATCTGTATCCTTTTCCCTGAAATATGACAATTATAAGATATCAAAAACTACCCAAAAAAAATTGCAGAAACAAAGTGAGAATCATGTTTGAATGCAGCCAGACTCTTGCACACACAATTTGATACTGAATATGCCAACATGAAGAGATTTAGTAATCAATTAGATAAGCAAACAAAATTAACACAGACATACCAAAATTATCATGTTGATATTCAATTACATCCAAGAGATCGTTCTCACATGCTTCAATGACACATACACTGGAAATTATATGCAAAGCTATTCTCTTTTTCAAAACAATGGATCATCGTTTTGTTTACTTAGGAAAAATTAAATGTGCATTACAACAAACCAAAAAAGATAATCCTTTAAAAAGCCAACACAAGGAAAATGTGGAGACATAGTTAGATGGCAATGTCAAGAGAAAGAAAGATACATGATATTAAACAAATTATATTAGCAAACTTAACTTTCAACAAAAAGAAGAGATGATCCAAAAAAAATGACTTGAAGTACGAAAATGAATAGACTAATTGTTACGAATAACATTCAAAAAATTTTAAGGGTCCAAAAAATATAGCTCATGAACAACTTTCAAATCCAAGTAGTACAGACTACAAGGGCCTAGTTATTATGTGCAATGTATTTTAATCATTTTACAAAGACAACCAATACTGTTGCATGTGAATACCTGGCTACAAAGAAAATTGATGCACACATTTACAATCCAGAATAGTATTTGATTATAATATATATTGCTTTCACATTATCATTCCGGACACAAGAGTAAAATCAAGATTACCAGGTTGCTTCAGCATAAGGTAAACCTTGCCATTTCACTAAATATTCAGTTACCACATCATCATTTCCAGTTTTGCTGATTCTATCAGCAAATACTCGCTCCACCTGGCATAGCAAATCAAGTCTTCTATTAGGGATAACATGAAAACAGGGAATACTGAAAAAACCTAGTTACAATAGAATCAAACAAATAAAAAGAAGAACCTGACTATACTGTTTGATAAGATCAAGCTCCATTTCTTTGCTAACATCATGAACCTCAGCCTGATACAGAACAATTTGATTTCTTACATTTATTAACAAATATATATATATATATAAAGATCGTTGAGTCAAACAAGTTTATAAGTAAACAAAATAATGATGCAAAAATTATAGGCTCGAAACAAAACTTAATAAAAATAAGCAGTAAAACATCCGGTCAATAATATAAAGGGTAAAAAACAGAAAAAGTATAAATCAACTCAGCACTGCTTCACAATAAGACAACAATAAAAGAAACAAAACCAAGTCAAAAGATAAATGCCAGAAAGTTTGAAGTAAAAACAAATGAGCTTAGAGTTTCCATGAATGATGACAACATCATATCTACTGTTTTCAGATTTCAAGCAAAAACAGATGGATTTGGTGTAGCTAGAAATGATGGCAGCATATCTACCAGTCAGAGTTGCACATTCCCTAATCGCATGGAAATATAAATTGCAATTCAATTACAAGTGCAGAATTGTCATCATTCAAGTATGAGAAATTAAAACTAGAATTGTCATCAACTTCAATTATATTTCAGCCAAACCATTATAATTCCATTTTCTCCACAATAACAAGAAACTTAGTAGGAAAATAATAATCAACTCTATCACTTCATTAATCTTTTTCTTTTCCGTTCTTTTTCATTTTCAATCATGAATTTATTACATTTAAACACACATCAAATGCTTTTGTCTCATAGATAAACAGAAGCATATCTAAAAAAATCATATATACAAGTAACAAAGTACTTCGCCCTACTTTTAAAATCCCTATGGTTCAAAATAGCAAAGAAATAGCCCTAGCAATGTAGTATTTTTTTCTATGCTTTAGGAAAAGGCTTTTCTGTTACTTTTTCTTGTATACAAATGTTGCATTCATATATGTTATTCGAAGCTAAACAACTGCTAGCCGTAAATGTCAAATATCCATAATTCATAATTGCATGCCACTTTTGCCAAAAATAAAAACAGTATTCCTCAACATAAGCAGCAGCATTACTATTAATAATTCTAAGCATAAGTATGCCATCAAAACGACAATCCATCCCCCACAAAGGGTGATGTAGACAAAGGGGGGGGGTCAACTCATGTCAAAAATAATCAGATTTTTGGCTTCCCTTGAGTCTACTAGCTCAATCAAAATTGAGCTGAAATTTTAGCTCATTTATGAGCTGGTCTTTAGTTCACTTATTGAACTAAGGGTTAGCTCATAGTTATCTTTTTATTAAATGTATTTTTATGCTTTTTATGTTTTTAATTATTGTTGTCTCTTGGAATTCCAAACCGGCCTTTGGAATTCCAAGAAATATCTTTTCCCATGCGGTGGCTCCTTGGCTTCCTCCCTTGGGCTGCCGTTCCCGTGTCTTGCCTCTTGGATCTCCGGCCAGCTGCTGGATTTCCGTGCCTGGGCTCCTTTCCGTGACCGTGACTCCTTGGAACCGTGCGGCCTCCTTGGCTCCCGCGGTTGCCTCTTCGGTTCCTTGGCTTTGAGCTGTTTTTCCGTGAAAAGCAATTGTGTTTTAAATGTTTGTCTTTTAGAATTCCTATGGGAATTTATTAGGAGTCTTTTGGTCTTCCCCTTTCATACCTATATATATGGGGGGTATTGTATTGTTTTAAAAAAGTTGAATGAAATGTTATTATTGGAAAAGCTATAACCTGCGGGTTTGCTTTGGAAATCTTGCAGGCTCTTTCCACCCTTCTTTCTCATCCCCTCCGGAAATCCTACGGGCTCTTTCCAACCTTTCTTCTCGGGCTTCTAACCTCTTTCGTCTCTCCGCAAGTGCCACTCCACCTGTATCTTTCTTCCAAGTGCAACAACATTAGGGTGTCGTTTTATTTTATTTGGAGTCGTTTGTAAGAGTTTAAGTTGTTAAAATCATCGTTTGTAGTTTTAATTTCCGCTACTTAGTCTTAATTAAGTTACCTCTTTTTTTAGGTATTTTGTGTCTTCTTTTTTATAGGAAGTCATTTTTCTCTTCTTGTGATAAAAAAATATAGGGTCCCCTATATTTTTTGATTGCATCAAAGGGTAATATGAATGTAATTACAGTCTTACAGATAATGCTCCCCAAGTATTAGAACAATGTTTGTAAACTAAGTTTCTGAAGAAAAATTTGTAGAACCACAAGGGTTAGTTGAAGGAGATATTTTTCCCTTTTTTTGGCAAACAAAAAAGTAATAAGAGAATTAAATAACGTTATGGAATAGGTGATTTAAAAAGTGAAGGGAAAGCCCAACTTAAATTTTCCAGAAGAACATGCTCTTACATTAGTGATTTTAACGTACTAAATCCCAGGTACTTTTTCTTTTCACTTAGGAGAAAATTTTGACCATGATATAACATATTAATTTTCCAACAAGAAATTTTAGAAAGGAAAATTTAAATTTAAAGCTGAATTTGCCTTGATGTGTGATAAAACAGGCAGCTGAATTGAGCAAACAACTAGAGTTTTAAGAGAGCAACAAAAGGATCATTATGCAATTTTATTGGCCACATAACCCACATGATCAAAACACCTGAGAATCAGATTAACCCGCATTAAGGTTTCTTTTTTATTTTTTTATTTATTTTTTATTTTTTTAACCCGCATTAAGGTTAAACAACGTGAAAAGGTATGCTAAAGTTATTGAAAATTGATTTAACATGCATTAAGATGAAAAGATGTGCAAAAGTATATTAAAGTTTTAAAGATAGTTATGATTTAGCAATGACTAACATCAGAAATAATAATGATCAAGAAATTTCTGATCAAAATAGAATTAAATCAATGATTACAATTAAACATATATTTTTATTTAAATAATAAGTTGATTGCAAAAGATATTCCGATTCAACTTTTATCGATACTTGTAGATGTTACAAACTTGAAAGGTAGGAATTTGAGGAAATTTGTAAAAATTAAGGGGCTTTGTGCAAGTAGATTAAAGACCGAGTAATAGCATACAATTTTGATAGAAGTAAAATGGATAATTTTCAATTAATATTACTCTAGTGAGAAGTACATAGGTATGATTAGTGCAAAACTTAAACTTAATCAATTATATAAAAGAAATAATAAAAATGAGAACATGTCATTGCTTGGGTGGGAACCAAACAATCATAAAACTAAATAGGGCATAGTGAGAAAGAGTTATATTAAAAGAATGGTGGTAATAAACACGAATTAAAGATGAGATAATGAAAAAAATAAGGGTAATTTAGGAATGTAGAATTGATTGTAAAAGATGTGTTAATAAGATAGAAATTATTAGCATTGAAAGATAATAAGGAAATATTAGAAGCTGCACAAAAAAGCTTTGGCAAAATAAAGTTAAACCTAATGATCATGTAATAAAAATGAATGGAGAAAGAGAATTAATAAACAACAACAACAACATCAAGCCTTTATCCCACTATGTGGGGTAAGCTACATGAATCCTTTTTCTCCATTGTGTTATGTTAAGAGCCAATTTCTCATTTAAATCTAAAAAATAAATGTCATTTCTAATACTTTATAACCAAGCTTTTTTAGGTTTAGCTCTACCTTTCTTAACGTAAGTCAAATATAATACATTTACTTTCCTAACCGGGTTATCGAAAGGCCACCGTTGTATACGACCAAACCATCTAAGGCTACTTTATCTAATCTTATCTTCCACTAGAGATACTCCAACCTTTTCACGTATATGCTCATTTCGTAGAGTAAACCCACGCATCCACCTGAGCATCCTCATCTCTGCAACACTTTACTTAATTTTATGCTTCTCTTTTAATGGGCAACATTCTGCACCATAAAGCATTGTAGGTCTCACCACCATCTTATAGAATTTTTCCTTAAGTTTGAGGGAGACTTTTCTATCACACAAACACATCTACCCTTTTGAATCTCTTGAGGATATGGGAATATTAGAAATTGCTAATCTTTCACTCGATGAGCCTGAATTAGAAGCTATGATATTTATTGAAGATGATATAGAAACTCAAAGACAAACCACTGAAGAAGCTAATCCTATCATTCCTTCTATTGAATAGTTGAAATTTCATGTGCTGGGCAATTTATCTTCTTATTTTTGTTGTTGTACTAGACATTTCAATATTTAATGCTTACTTTTATTTCAATTTTTTGTCATTCAAATATTACACTTTGATTACTTTACTAATTTTTATGTATTATTTATATATTATAATGCCGTATCCACGCTGTATATGCGCCGTATCCGTATCCTGTATTTTTAAGAATTGGAGTGTCCCGTATCCGTATCATGTCGTATCCGTATCGCCGTATCAGTATCGGTGCAACATAGGTTGATCCTTGATGTAATCCAACTGAAATAGGAAAATACTTGGTCAAACCACCTTGTGTTTGAACACAAGTAACAGCTCCTGCATACATATCCTTAATGACTTGAATATAAGCATTATTAACCCCTTCCTTTTCTAGAACTCTCCATAGCACCTCTCTTGAAACGTTATCATATACTTTCTCTAAATCAATAAATATCATATGTAGATCGTCCTTATTCTCTTTATACCTCTCAATAAATGTATAGCTTCCATAGTAGACCTGCCCGACATGAATCTAAATTGATTTTGAGAAACATCAGTATCCAACCACAACCTATGATCCATATCTCTCCCATAGCTTTAAAGTATGACACATTAACTTAATTCCTTTATAATTCACACAATCTTGTGCATCACATTTATTCTTAAAAATAAGAAACAAGACACTTATTCTCCACTCATCTGACATCTTTTTAGTATTCAAAATAATATTAAAAAGTTTAGTAAGCCAAGAAATTCCTTCATTTCCTAAGCATTTCCACATCTCTATTGAAATATCATCAAGTCCAACAGCTTTTTCAGACTTCATTTTCTTTAAAGCCACTCTAACTTCAGTTTACAAATACGTCGATTAAAAAAAATCTTTATTTTCATTTAGGATACTAAGGTCACTAAAGAATCGAATTCTCACAATCTTCAAAATATCTCATCCATCTTAGTTGAATATCCTCTTCTAATAAAAGCACTTT